TTACCCTTCGAATAACGTTTAATACAAGCCATCACCATTAAAAAACGTTGGTGTGTGTGTCACTTCGATGGTATTCACTCAGCTGATTACAACTACTGTATTATGCTTTTCACGCTGTGATAAATAATGAGTTCTAAATTATTACCCTTCGAATAACGTTTAATACAAGCCATCACCATTAAAAAACGTTGGTGTGTGTGTCACTTCGATGGTATTCTCTCAGCTGTATTTTATACTTTATTATTCATTCACTCTGTAATTATCTTTAAAATAAATCAGAAATGATGTTAGATTTTCATAAGGACAATTAAGTAATATCACCAACAGATGGCGACGCAAGCCATTAATTGATTGTTTTTTAGAGAAAAGCCACATTGGGCTACCCCCAGTAGTACAGCGGTATGTCTGCGGACTTACAACGCTAGAAACCGGGTTTCGATACCCGTGGTGGGCAGAGCACAGATAGCTCATTGTGTAGCTTTGTGCATAAATTCAAACAAACACATTAGGCTATTTGCTTCGTCCATCCGAGTAATCAAACCCCGGATTTAAGCGTTATAAGTTCGTAAACTTATCTGTTATAATTAAAGTTTGCTTAAGAATTTAGGAAATAAGCTGAATCACCATCACTACATTATCAACTGAAGAAAGGCCATCTCTAAATTAATGTTTCAAGATGCAGAAGAAAGTTCTTAAATCACAAATATTGTTTAATCAATAATGCAGCGTGGCAACCAATTGCTGTTAATTCAGAGCTGGCAACTTAAAGAAACAACAAATTACTGAATAAATTATAAAGAACAACAACAACAATGTCGGTCAGTACTATTCAAGACTTAACTTGAATAACATAAGCTGGTATAGAAAGTAAAACTTGCTCAAAATATGAATTGAAACTTAGATACAGTAAGAGTGAATATTTTTATCTTAAGGGGTTAAGCGTCGTGATTGGCATATTTGATTTGTAATGTTGTAAGTCCTGAATTTTGTTCTTGAACTGAATTAGATATTAGGTCATTCGCTGAAGTATTTCCTTTTTTTTCGTAATTTGGCAACTTTCAGCAAGATGAGTAAATTTCCAGCCACAATTATACAAGTATTAAATACATTAACTGTTTCCCTATAGCGCAGTGGATAGCGCGTTGGATTTCTAATCCAAAAGTACCGGGTTCGTTTCCCGGTAGGGACCATTGCTTGGTCCCAAGTCCAGGATGAGAAAGGATGAGGGTTGGGCAACCGTAAAAACCAACCTGCTAAAAAATTACTGCAACAACAACTTCCGTCGGCGAGGTGTTTTTGGGGCCCCATGCTCTAGTCGGATTATTATTATATTAGTATAAATACATTAACAGGCTCGAATAAATTGTATGTATATTCTGGAAAAGGATGTTGATAAAAGTTTCTTTAATAATCCCAGTTCCGGGATTTAACAATTCAATTAAATTCAACTTTAAATCAAGTTTCATTTTTGATCCTCGTATGTGCTGAAATGTAATGAGAGTAGTTTGCAATTATTTTTTAAATGTTTTTTTTTTTTTTGCTTATTTGTTTTAGCTCGAAGGTACACAATGGGCTATTTGCACTCTGTTCACCACGGATAATTTTAAATGTTAGATTTACCAGATTTCAAAAGTAATCCATTCAGTTTTAAACATCACACACTTACATCATCCTTTTCAGTGAAGCAACATCTTTCATTACTTCTTGGTGGATATCCATAACTTCATTTACTCAACCATTAGAAGTTCTAAGCTAGATTAAATCAACCATTGAAAATATTGAAGGAATTTTAAGTGGTTTTGACACAAATATTATACTTATACTTAAAAAAATCCATATTTCCTAAATCGAAGGAGACAACAATTAATGAATAAATTTACTAAACTTGCAATTTCTAAATACTTTAATCCTTTCTAACGAAATTGAATTGTTTTGGGGCTCAGAAGATTAAAGTATTCTTTAGGCTTAGTTCTACAAACGATATTCGAATGAAATATTTATTTTTAGATATGTTAAAGAACATTTAAGAAACAATAAGTTGCTAATTTGAAAAATGAATTACTTTTAAAACACGTGTGTGTTATTTCATTATCGTGTGTAACATTCCTAATTATTGGTCCTTCTTCCTTTTTGAAACAATCAAAACCAAATAAACCAGGTAAGATTTGGTGTGCAAATATGCTTTTTAATGGAGAGAGATTAAACATCTGGTTTCGAGATTTTTATGTGTACAAGTCGACATACAGTTAAATGATTTATATATATATACACACAAAATAACCCGACCTTAATATATGAAGAAAAATGCATTGATTTATCTTTAATGTTGAGCTTTGAATGCATCACAGAACAATGGCCCCCATAACAATGGACAATCATAATACAAAGAAGAATATATTTATTTTTTGTTTTAGCTCAAAGCCATATTAGGTTATCTGCTATGTCCACCGCGGAAAATCGAACCCTGGATTTTAATATATCTATATATATATCGATATTGTTTCACATATAATTCCGAGGCCACATCTAACTCGGTTTTTCAGAAAGCTTTTTTGAAACGCTTCTACATAAACACTCTATAAGTATCGTACTCAGCGAAGCATAATCTTAAAAGTAACTGTATTGTTGAGAGAAAAAATCAGATTACGATTTTATATCAAATAAAATTCGTATCTTGAATTTTTAATATTACACACGGGCGTGCGTTCTTGTACCTTTGTAAGGGTATAAAACTTATCTTAGATATGACTTAAAATTATAATTGATTAGAGCTGTGTGTACAGGAAGTGTGAGCTCTTTATTAATTAGGAAAAGCGTTAATTTCAATTTTAAATAATGTAGTAAGTAAATTTTGCTAATTATTATAGCTTGTTTGGAGGACAGTAGCTTGACTTCACTAGTTTGTGAAATTATGTAAGTTACTCGTATTTTACTATGAAAAAAGGTTGCATAAGATAGCATTATCCATAGATGTATTTCTATTATTTAATTGAGATTCGAATGATAAGAAGTCACTGCTTTGGTGAGGTGAAAGTACACATTTGGTGATTGTTATTAACTTAAACAGGATAAAATCTAAATATTGTGCATTGATTTTCTGATTAGTTGACGAACTCGTTCAACGGAAGGGGCATTCATAGAGCTCCCCAGAGAGAGACATAGGAAGGCCAGATCCGAACGCGACTCCCAAATGCCCATCCTCGAAATGCCTTCGAAGTTTGGTAGAAATCAATAGAATAGTATGTGGAACATACGGGGGCCCCCAGGAAGTGACACATGAGATCATATACAAACGCCAACTCCTCTGCGTGATTACCCAGAGAGTTTTAATGGTGCATATCAAGTATGGTTGAAATCAGTAAAAAACTATAGACATTAATGGCGGGCACACTGACAGTGGCCTCCTGGGGAGTAACACAGGAGTGGGGTTTCATATCCCAACGCCGTCCTCTATGACACTCCCGATAGGCCCTAAGGATGCCTGGCCAAGTTTGTTTGAGATTGGTCAAAAGCATAGCCATGATATGCGGCAACACAGTTCTACCATATCACTCTCCGGAGGATCATTGTCTGTCTGTGTGTCCACCTTTTACGCCTGAAGTTATCTTAACCAAGCTACTCCCAGTTTTATAACGCTATAAACGGGGTTTCGATACCCATAGTTGGTACAGCACAGCGTTAGAAGTCCGCAGACATATCGCACTTAGGGGGGGGGGGCAACTTATTTAAATAATCTATTGACCGTTCCTTCACCTATATCATTGTTGTAAGTAAAGAAAAGCAAATCTCCAAACACTGAGCCACGTGGTACCCCACTTGTGACATTAATCCAGACTGACTTAACTTAATTTATAAGAAACCTCTGTTTTCTTCCATCTAGTGAGTTTTCTCTCCAATGAACCAACCCATCACCCACATCCCCAGAGAAAAGTTTTAACAAGCTTTTTAAGCAACACCTTGTCAAATGCTTTCTGAAAATCCAGATACACCAAATCCACACAAGTACCCTCATTTTCCTCTAGTGAAACCGTGCTAACTATTCAACAGAATTTTAAATTTCATTAAATGATTTTGCAAAGCATCTTTTATCAGCAGTTAACAAGGCTTGTGTGTATTTCGAGATAGTCAAACTTCGTTATAATTTCTTCAGAACAGTAAAGGTGGTTATACATAAATAACATAGCATTAAAGGGCATACTTGCTGTGTTTATAATTACAACTCCAAAATATACTGAATACATTGCTCACAGCTCATCATCACCTGATTTTGTTTCATTTAATGTTTTATATGCTCACAAATAAAAATATTTCTTTTTATGTTTGTGTTAACCCTAAATTTTTGTTTGACTGCACTCATACAAAGTCAAATCATTATTGTGGTTCTTAACTAAAAAATCAGGCTTAGTCCTTTAATTGATTTTGCATCATTTATGCCCTACATTAAACAATGAAATCAGGCAATTGCTTTTGTTATATAATATTGTAACACATACTTGTAAATAAATAAATATATATATATTAATACTTTATATACCAATATCTTTTGCAAAATATCATGATATACAATTTACAATGCAACATACAATAATAGTACGAAATGCAAAGACACAACAGTACTTAACTTAGGAAATTCAACGTTCGTTAAAGCAGAAACTATTTTTGAAAGTTACGTTGACATTTCAAGATTTAAAAACAACGTTCGAATGTGAAAGAATTATTGTGTAAAACATATCATAATATCCTTTTATCTCTTTTAAGAGTTTTTACAATGATAAATGCTTATGTAAGCTCTTTAATACATTTTTTATGTCTGTAATAATTTGACAACAACATTTTCTTTGAAAAAAGTCCTATGTATATGTATACATAAATATATATATAGAGAGGGAGAGAGTGGAAGGCAGAAAAACACTCCGCAATTCTTCTTTTTTTATGTATCGATAAATCGTTTAGAAAAACAGTCGCTAGATGAAGATATGGTACGCATGCGTAGTATTATACAAGTATATTGAGGACTGGATTTTGAGGTAGGAATTTATAAAGAATTATTTTGTATAAGTTAATCATTTGTGCAATATATTTGTTAACATCCACTTATGGAGCCCAAATATTACTAACTTTGATGTTAATCCCTTCTTCGTGAATCAAAACATTAAATAACACAGTGTCAATAACACGTAAGAGACAAGAGCTGGTGATGAGCGTAGATATACTGATACTATTAGTGTATTACTAAGCAATAACAACTGTGATATAGCCAGTATGGTTTAGTGAAAGCTTAAGATATGATATTAGGGATAAACATAATAAATTCAAGAAATTTAAACTTAATGGAAATAATAAGGACTTGGAGGAGTAGGAAATCAAGAGAGATGGTTCAAAATAAAATGGAAGTTAAAAGGGCTAAAACTAAATCATTAAATGAAAGAGGGTTGGCTGAGAGAGTTAAATCAAACGATAACTTGAATAAGGAATTCTTTAGCCTTTAGGTATATGATGTGTAAGCAAAATGTTAGGATGGGGATTGGGCCTCTTAAAAATGATAGTGGGGAGCTGATCTCGGAGAATTATGAGCTGGTAAACTTATTAAACTATATGTTCTCTTCAGTTTTTACGAAGGAAGATACAAGTATTATGCCTCAGCTAGAACACTTAATCATGTTAATGTATAGGGAAAATATTGATGTAAAAGATATTTTAAGTTCTGAAATTCTAAGAGAAAAGATGGGAAACCTCAAAATTTATAAATCCCCTGGACCAGACAACTTTTATCCTAGAGTTTAAAATGAACTTAAATATTTTATTTGTGAACTGCTATCTAATATTTTGTATAGGTCATTGAGTAGTGGAAGAGTATTAGAAGATTGGAAGTTGGGTAATGTTAGTCCAATATTTAAAGGAGGTGATAAACATTGTCTAGGTAATTATAGGCCAGTTAGTCATACATCAGTAGTTGGAAAGGTTTTGGAGAGTGTGATTAAAGATACATTGCAGAGTCACTTAAAGCAGTTTGATATAGTGTCAAAGAGCCTGCATGGTTTCACTAAGGGAAGGTCTTGTTTAACAAATCTTCTGACATTCTTCAAGGATGTTACTGCAAGAGTTAATGAAGGAAATACTGTGGATATATTTTACCTTGATTTTCAGAAAGCGTTTGATAAGGTGTCTCACAAAAGACTTGTTACAAAAATTAAATCTGTGAGTGTGGGGGAAATGTTATTAAACTGGATAGAAAATTGGCTGGAGAGTAGTCATAAATGGAGTTAGATCTGACTAGATCACAGTTACAAGTGGTGTGCCTCAAGGCTCTGTCATGGGTCCTCTGCTGTTTGTCATGTATAGTAATAATATTGACTTTGGAATGACTAACAAAATTTTGAAGTTTGTAGATGACATGAAGATTTTTGGGATGGCTAACTGTATCAAAGACATTGCAGACTTACAGGAAGATTTAGATCATTAGATGCATTGGGAATATGTGGCAGATGATGTTTAACTATCCAAAATGTAAGGTGATGCATGTAGGTCTTCAGAATTAAAATTACTGTTACAATTTAAATGGGAATACATTAAATACTGTGGTTGAAGAAAAGGATGTTGGTGTTGTGATTGAAAAATCACTTAAGTCATCTAAACAGTGTATTGTAGCTAGCAATAGAGCTAATAGGGTTTTGGGTAGTATCTATAGAAATATTGAATTCAAGACAAGGGATATTATTGTTTCACTGTATAGATAACTTGTAAGGCCTAATTTAGAGTATTGTGTACAGTTTCGAACCCTCTTCCTGAAGGACACTGAATTGTTGGAGAAGGTTCAAAGAAGAGCCACTAGGATGGTATCTGGGATGGTGGGAATGTCCTATGAGGAGAGACTAAAATCTCTGAACTTGTTTTCTCTGGAGAGGAAAAGAGTCAGAGGGGATTTGATTGAAGTGTTTAAGATTATTAAGGGTATTGATAATATGGATCAATCAAACTTTTTGTGTTTAGCAGTGAAAACAATAGGCAAAGTAGGAGTCGTCTGCAGTTTAGACAGTATTGCTTTTCAAATAGGATGGTTGGCTTTTGGAATGAGCTGCCTTCATGGGTGATGGAGGCAGAAAATTTAACTGAGTTCAAAAAAAGAGGATGAATACATGAGTAGTAAGGGGTGGTTATAGTTGGGAGCTGGAAGGGACATCCTTTATGGGCTAATAAGCTCCTTTTTGTCCCTTTAAAATATTATGAAATGCCAATGGGTAAGTTTTAATATGTCACTGCTAATGATATGATGCTGCTGGTAAGTTTTACAGTAAGGCATTAATGTAATGTTTTAGTTTTACTGTAACTTGTACAGAAGTGTAACTAAGGATAAGTTAGAACATTATTAACACTAATAGTATTCTAATATTTTTACTACTTTACTAGTATTACTAGTTAAACATAATATTCCTTCATCATGAACTAACAATTAATTAATTATAAGGTTTCAAGTTTGCCATTCTATGAAGCTTAAAAATAAAAATGGTAATGATACTTGAGATAAACTTTTATCTTAAGTATTCATATCCTTTTTACTGTAGATAAATTGATATGCAAAAAAGACACAGACTGTTCCCTTTGTTTTTTAAATACTTTTAATTATGAACTTTTGGCCCTTTTATCAGAGTCTTCATCGGGTAACAGTGTACTGAATAATACAGATTAATTTATATGGGGAGCATTTTTTTTTAAGGCAGGTGTAATGCTAAGCAACAATTCTAATAGTAACTGACATCTGCTATTAGTTATTAGCCATGTGAAACTGATGAAAATTAATTATGACAAGAACAGACTTAACAAACATTTAAACATTTACATGAATTAATGAATCGAAATTTTGACCTTTTTAGCTGCATAAAAATGTAAGTATCTTATACAAGCTGTTGTTTAAAACATGTAAGATCAAACAATTACTTCAGTATAATAACCATTAGAAAAGAAAAATATGGCAATAAGTACATAAATACATAAAAGATATAATGTTCATACCTCAGTTAATACATTTTAGAATTACTGGTCATGACCAAAGCACAAAAAATTAAAGGTTTAAATTTACATAAGTACATGACAAATGATATGTTTGATATCTTTGATAAGTGGTGTCTGTACAGTACTCAGTGGTTGTTGGCTGAGTGATATGGCCCATGTCAATTCCGTTTAGGTCTTGTAACTATATTTCAGGTTCAAAATTATGAAATGATTGGTTTTCTTTTACTACCTTATATGCTGTGCGAAAAATTCTGGCAGTAATCACTTTTTCGCAGGATAATGCTTTCAAACACACATTTTCAATGGTCTCTTTCTCAGCGTTAGCCAGCAATTTTACCACAGCTTTATGTACCATGGTTTCCTTGTGATCAAAAAGTTGTTACTGTCGACTTTCACCAAAATAAGTTATTTCACTGTAGGCCCATTCTTTAGAAACTTTCATTCCTGCCTTTGTTTCTACTCCAAAAGGTTCAATTCTATGGCAAGGTGTACAGCCATGTTTCTTATTTCTAATATTCAGCCAATCGTACTTCCTGCAAAAATCATTTTTTGTATGGCAGTCCAGCAGCTAGGCCAGTCATTGTCAGATAGCTTATGAACACCGGATGGACCAGGAACAGAAACTGTCACTGACACTGTTAATTCCTGTTCTTGGGTCACTTCTTCACTTATTCTAGCTTTTTTATTCACAGAAGGTGAAAAGAAACTTGTAATTTGTTTCATTTTTACGTTGTGGTGTTTTCTCAAGATGCAATAAAAATGATATACACTCCCGATCACAATAAAATCAAAGCACAGTAAAAGAGAAATGCACACCTACTTAAATTGGCATCACCACCTCGACTGAGCATGTCAGACCAAAATGACTTATTCCCGAGACTCGCACACATATTTAATCTTGGCTAAAAAGATGCTGTGTGATTAATGACATCAGTCGTCTTCATCCACTTTGTGACTTATTTTATTTGAACAAATGTACAGTCCATACCCATGTACCAGTCAACTCAGCTTGTAGTCACCTGTTTCCCAGTCCCAAGCGGTCTCTTTGAACTCAGTATTGTGTCCACCCAGGCCGGCTTTCAACTGCCACTGCCCAATTGAAACCTGTCAATCAAAGTGAGGCCACTACCATACATCGACTGAAAGCGACCACGTCTTGTAGGTGTTAAAACCAGGTGATCATTGATGTTCCCTGTTAATGGCACGCTAATCCCACCTGATGCTTCACACCTCAAACTGCACTGATGATCACACACAGACAATCAAACAAACAGTATGTTTTCATACTCTTTTAAACTTTGTCATTTGTAACACTACTAGTTTGGTGTCTCTTTGGTCTTCTTGTGAACAAAAGCTTTGTTCAAAGGGGAAAATTCACACATTCATTTACAGCACTCTTTCAAGTTTTGTCAACTTTCTCTCCATTTTGCAATATGAAAAATGATGCTGGTACACTGTACCAGTGTGCATCATCTTAAAAATAGTCCTGATTTTGATGCCTCTTGACCTTGTCTTAGTGAGATAGTTGACTTACAGGATAAAAAGCTAGATAAAGTTTGTATGATAAAGCTCTTTTTCCACAGAAATTAAAAAAAGAAAAGAATGTCTTTGGTTATGTACAAATTATGTAAATTTTTTATATCATCCAATCTACAGGCTTAAAGATTTCTAGTGATTTTTTTTCTCTTATTTTTGTACTTGTCATATCTCCATATTGTATATTTTGTCAACTGTGTTAAAAGTGCTTGTGAATTATATGTCACATATAAATGTTTTGTATTCTTTCAAATGTTGTGAGGAAAACATTGCCTACAGTATAATCTATTTACATACAAAATGGCTAATACTGAAAGGAGTATCTTATGGTCTTGACATAATGTGTAAATGAGTATAGCTTTTGGTAGTTTAAGTGCTGTCTTGATTAACAATTTATGTATGTTATATAAGCATTTTTAATTATAGCACAAGGATTGTTAAAATAACTTTAGCATTTTTTTACATCAAGAAGCTTTTCCACCCCACTGTGACATTTCTATATGTGTATGTCCATTTTATGTCAAAGTGAGGCAATACAAATGAAGCACAATACATCAGTGAAGAAACTTGGGTGAGACAGTTTTTAAAAATATTCTATTATTTCCAAATAAGAGTATAAGAGTATTTCTAGATAGTATGCATATATCTCAAAAAGTAACCTATTTAACACTGTTCTCTAAGTTTAACTAAAAATCATTTTCCACTGAACATTATAATGATTAATATAAGACAAGATTGTTACATTTCTACATGACCTAAAGTCAGTGTTAGAAGAAGTAAACTTGCAAGTCATGCCAGAGGTTACAGCAGTAATATCTTGTAGCTGTATGTAATCTATACGTGCATTACCAGACTGGATTTTATCATAAGCTTATAACCTTTGATTTTCTTATAAATTTTCAAAGCTTTTGATAAGATTGAATAATAAGTTAGAATATTATGATGTAATTAATTGGCAATGCTCAAGTCTTATGTGGACAAAAAGAGTTGTAAGTTACAATCATATATGGACAGAATCCTAAAGGGGTGCAATTTAGTTATGCTGTTGCTCATGATTTTTCTCTTATGACTGTTTTTATTTATTATTTGTATTAGTGAGATAGATACTACCAATATTTTTTGCTGCAATGTCAAAGTTTACTGATAATATCAAAATGCTGGTCAAGGCACATATTGTTGACAACATTTCTATAATGCAATGGGACCTCATTAATCTTAGTGTGTGGTCTCACAGCTGGGTAATGAGTTTAAATACTAAGAGGTTAATGGCTAGACACTTAGAATATAAAATTTTGAAAGGGAACTGTTTTGAATTAATTGGTATGCTGTGGAAGGGAAGTATTTTTAAGTTTCTGCCTGATTGTTTAACCGTGTTAAAAAAACCTAACATGATACTATGATTTATTTAAATTTTTATTTTAAGTGTAAAATTATTATTCTTGTTTTTGTATAAACTCTTGATTGTCCTCTTAAATATTATTAAGCTTTGATTTTCTTATTTTATAAAACTTATAAATTTGTCATTCAAGTTGTGTCTGGTCTGAACAACTTGAGTTATGAAGTTAAACTAAAAAAAATATTTTTTCGTCAATTAAGAGGATTGATTTGAGTTTTCAAACTAGTGAGGAAAACAAGATGACTTTCATATAGGTATTGTGTTTTATCTTTGAAAGGACAGTATTGAGAATAATGACTTGAATGTTAATACGTCATTGATATAAGACTCAGGTTACTTTTTTTTTCATGTTATACATGATTAATTACCTCATCAGAAGGTTAATTGAGAGTGGTTTACTAGTACATGGTGCAGAATATTACCTAGCATATAGGTTATTTCAGCTGCTCTAGACCTATTTATGTACATAAATGCTACAATCATTTGTGCTTATGAAATTAGTCTTTTGTTGTTAATTTAATAAATGTTGTGTATCTATCAAAGAAACTTGCTTTTATATTTGTAATTGAACTTGCACTTATGGAGATATACTGTTTCATTTTTAAGGGAGAGAATAATTGGGATTGTGTAACCATTTGCTTTAAATGCCATATTCATTTCACTCTGTTAATTAGTGAATAGTAGTTTTATTTTCATTGTGAATCAGACAATTAAATGGTCATGATACATGACCTCACTTGGTTGACACTTCTTTATCCTTAGACTGATTATAGAGCTTTTACAGTTCTAGCAGACATTGTATAATTGAACTAACATCTTTTATTTTACGATCTCATTTGATTTGTATAATGCATTTCAAAGAAACTTGAGTAAATGACAGTCCTATAGATACAACTATACATTAGAGAAACATTTTATGATACTAAGTGTTAATAATTGGAGGTAATTTTTACAAATTTTGTTGGCCTTGAATGTGTTAAAAGGGGTTCTATTTTGGCCCATACATTACAGGTTTTTTTTTTGTGTGTACACATATAGTACCATACTGTTTATGAAACTGCACTTATTATGCTATTTATAATGAGCCTTTCTTATCTGACAAGTTCTGCAATAAGCATATTATTGGCAAGCATGAAGCTTCAAGAAAAAATCATTAACTTCGTATGAATGATGGTAATCTGATAACCACACTTTCCTTAGTAGAATGAAATGCAGTACACCAGGAATTAGGACTAGTGTGTGTAGGATTTTGGGGGAACATGATGATGGTGTCAAAGGAACAACATCAAAAGACAGAAGTCCAGGTACCTGCCATTATTATTATTTTGATTTTGTTGTCTAATACTTTGTCACGTAGAAAATTCCAATTAAATACACATGTAGTGCACAAACACTCATCTTCCCTCTTATGTTTTCAAATTTTAACATATGAGAATTCTTTGTCATCACAAGTTTCATGGGTAACAGATTTTGCTGTTAAACTTTAATTTTAACTGCCATTGTAGCTAAGTATTCTTGAATTTATTTTGCCACCTTTGAGTTCTTTAGTTACTTCACAGTTCAAAATTGCAGTTTCATACCAGTTAATGTGCATGATGTACAAAAACAGTAAATTAGGAAATACTAAAGTTATTGTTTAAAAAAAGATATTTTAAAGATACTATAGTATAGCATGGAGTTTTGCTATTTTATATTTTAAAAGGAATCAAGCCTCCTAGATTGTTAAACTAGTGAATCATACTCAAATCCAATATAAGTGTATACATGTACGTATTTCTATTGGATCTACAATAGACATTACCATTAAATATTTCAGCCATACACAGTTATACTTGTACAGGGAGCCAGATATAATATGTTTACATATATGTGTGTGTGTGTGTGTGTAGGATTTAGTAGGATGGAGCAGCAATGAACCTAATTACTTGTTAGTTAACTTTGTGGTGACAGCATATTTGTACGAGTATTTGACAAATTCTATGTGGACAATTCAGTAATTTTTTTAAGCTACTAAGTGAGATTACACTACTATCATTTTTGAAAAAACTACAACTGTTTTTATGAATAATTCAAACAAGTATGTGTTATCTTAAAATTGATTTAGATCATTAAGTCTGTAATCAGCCAAAAGATGTATCAAATATTTAGTCTCTTGCAGATATATGAAAACTTAACTAATTAGCAGTCTTGTGTTGCACATTGCTATAGTCCAGTATCTCTCAACCAGCACATTGTAGACCAAAATCAGGTCCTGCTAATCTTTTCTCCAGGTCATAACTCATCTCCTCACTCAGAATAGTTATTTCTCTTGCACGTCTGTCTTTGTTATTTGCGTGCCACTAGCTTTTGGCTAACTCCTACCTAAATTCATGTGTTTAATGTGAACTGCACTGGTGTATGATGATGTCATCAAGCGACAATAGCCCTCCACCAGTAGGTTGGCAACCAAACCTTCCAAGAACAGTAATTCCCCCCAATACACTTGATCATTTCTTGTCTAAATTCAATTTGATGTGATTTGCTATTGGTTATGAAACTTGGTTTTCATTTTACTTTGACTTTTGTTTCATGAGCTTTAATTCTTATCATGAATTCTCAAGTGATGGTGACTTTTGACTTTCTCCTGTGTGATAAATGATGTGACGCACACAGGCCCTATCTCTATTGTGATGTCAGGTGGTTCATTGACTGCTGAGGACATTCCAGCCATGGTGCAGAGTGATGTGGGATCCATCATGTATGCTGGGTTTTCTATTTTCATCCCTTCCCCTCAGTTTGAGAAGGAACAGAAGGAAGACGGATTTGATAGACTATTCCCTCCACCTGGAATGGCTTTGGGTACCTCCCAACTGGTCTAAGGCATTCCTAAATCTTCTGCATTGTTTCAGGACTTGATTTTTTCTCTTTATTTAGTATTTCTTTCCTCACTGACATTTGGGTTCGTGCTGATTCCTATCTTGAACAGCTTCACACCCATACCCTCATCCTTCTTGTGTTCTTGATTCTCACATCCTAGCTTACAGCCATTCTTCCTTTTCCCTTCTAGATTCCCAGTCTTTGGAATCTTTATTACATGCTTGGGGAGCAGACCCCCTTGTCCTCTGTTTTGCTCTCTAGTGCCCAGTTTCACATCTTCGTCTTTTTCTTACCACCCTCCTACATTACCTGTCGTCCCTGCACTTTGTCTGTGGCACTTCATCATGCTCCAGAAGGATTTTCTGGGGAGGTTGGTTCCATTGTTTTTACCATGATAGCTCATACCACTTCTTCTGCCTTGTCCTTGCATACTTGGTTCCTCTGATTTTGGACTTGTTGGGTCGGGATACAATCCTGACTAACATTCACCTACCTACTTCTATTCTGCAAAATCAAGCTCCCATTCTTCACTCTGACATCTTCAGTGGTGTTTCTGATTTGCTGTAGATCCGTGCTGAGGCAGCCCAACATCAGTCATATATGTCTTCCCTAGTTTCTTGCCTTTTCCAGCCTTTGACCAGATCAGTCTGCCACTCACCTTCCTCTTTCAACTTCCAGATCTTTTTCTTCATCCCATCCTCTCACTGTCTGCTATCAGGTTCATCTCATGTCTTGTCAGTGACTATCCTATTGGGTCAGGCCAAGTGAGTGCTTGTTTGTCTCAGTTAACCAACCTTTGGCACAGTTTTCTACCAACAGATGGGTTCTTCATATCTTCACCCACGTTGTAATCAGCGCTCTTTTCACATCTACACTCGTTAATTACTTCTCAATTGGCAGTAGTACTGTACAGATGTGCTGGTTTTTGCTTGCAGATTTGTTGACATTTTCTGTTATACTACTGACTTTATTTTTCTTTATTATTTCTTTAAATTTTTGCATTTTAGTATTGTGAAAGGTTGGGTTTTTTAAAAAATACTTTCTTACTGTGTATCGTGGACCCCATTCTGTGGCAAGTGGTGCCTGACCAGGTATACCTTTTTTGAAAATCTGCACTATCCATCCTGTAACCATGCTTGATGTCAATTATGTTGTAGCCCTTCCTACTGCAGACCTGATGTACAATTCCAGATGCCACCAGGTGTTGGTTTTGTGTCTGTGTTTTATTGTTATCTATGACTGAACAATTACATTGCAGGTTTGGGTTATGCATACCATAGAGATGGAGTGTTCCATAGGACTGCTAGTAGTTCTCTCTAGTGATTTTTGACTTCATAAATATGTTTGCCCCGGACTTACACTCATGGACTAACATGAGTAAAGCAGACAAAGATCGCTGTTCATCTCTGATGTTCCATGACATTGAGACTCTTCCTACTGTGGACCTGACGTACAGTTCCAGATGCTGCCAGATTTTGGTTGATCGACTCTGTCAACGTGGTAGCTCTGCTTTTCAAAATAAGGTATTGTGGTCACTCATTGCACTGTCTCTGGTGATGTGGTCCTTTGGACTCTCCAACATGTTTTTTCCCCCCTTTCTTCATGGCATATAGGAGTCCTTACTATTTACCAGTTCCTAGCCACTGGGGTGGTGGACCATGGAGGCTTGTCCTCCTGAGTGAAGAATCACACCCACTCTCTTGAGAGTAGAGTGGTGGCATTCTGCAGGTGTTGCTGGCCTATTGCATTTCCTACTGTTTAGGTTTCCTAGGTTTTAAGAAAAAGCATGGGTATCCTCCTAGTTGCATGGGTAATATAGATCAAATACCTGTGTTCTTTGACATGCCTGTAAATCTTACTGTTCACAATAAGGGAGAAAAAACAATATTGGTAAAAACAACTGGAAGTGAGAAATATTGGGTTACAGTTATGCTGACAGTTTTGACAGATGGCATAAAATCTCCCCCACGTGTTATTTTGATGAGAAAAATAATACCTAAAGAAAATTTACCTTCTGGAATGACAATGCAAGTACAAGAAAATGGTTGGATGGAGGAAAGACTTGTTTTGGATTGGCTTACTGTTGTTTGGGAAAGAAAGCTAGGAATGCTGTTGAGAAAGAGATCAATGCTTATACTTGATGTGTTTAAGGGATACCTAACTGAAAAAGTCAAAAAAGAAATTCACAAATTAAACACAGACTTGGTTGTCATCCCTGGAGGTATGACCTCACAATTGCAAGTTTTATATGTTATAGTCAATAAGCCTTTTAAAGACAGTTTAAGAAAGAAATACTCAGATTGGCTTCTAAGATTGAACAGACTGTTATAATCTCACATGCTTATGAATGATGTTTTAGTCTAGTGTAGGACAGACAGTATGTGTACAACTAAGATAATTTAAGGTCTGTTGTGCTGAATCAAATGGTAAACATTTGAGATTGATAAGGACACATATAGAATGAATGTTTTCCCTGACAACAATCTACATGGATAACACATTGCAAACACAAATGCAAATAAGAATGAAATAGATAACTTTAAGTAGGTTTATATCATCATGGGGATTGTTGCTTTCACTAGCCCTGTACTGAGAAGAATATAAAACACATTGGTTATAGTGCATAAGGGTTCTATTTTTTGGCCCTCTTTTGATGTGTTTGTTTCTATGTATTATAGGTTGTATTTTTATATGTCTTATGTCCATTTTGTGGATGCCTTTTATAATACACCTTGACATGTGCATGTATAATTTAGTTGGTATAAATGCATTTAATTTCTTGTTATACTGGATGTTGCTTTCTGGGCTAAAGGGGCTAGAACGTATGACAAACTTTCTAAAAAAACTCACAGACTGTAGAAAAATCTGACCATGACCTATCATCAATATACTAAAACTTGTAGCTGGGTTATTTCAATGGCTCCTAGCAGTATTGAATTACCTGTCAAAAACAGACTGTCAACTTGTCTAATATAACTTGACATGTTACAGGCACTCTATTTACACTTCACTTGCAGTGAGAAATTAAACTGACATTTTGATGCTATGTTTGTTCTATTGGAATGTTGCTTTTCAAGGTTTTAATATGGTAAATTTATGTTATGTAAAATGAAAACTCCAACAGTTTTTGTTCTTAAACCATTGTATAACAAGCTGTTATTTATAAATAACTTCTCATGCAATGTGCATATTTCTGAAATAAATCTCCACCCAAACATTTTAATTAGCTAAAATACATGAATACAGAATGTTGGGGAAAAAATATTAGTTTCATGTGTCTGTATATAATACAAGAAAAATAAACTTTTTAAAGTATATATATATATATTTAGGCAAAGTACATTGAAATTAAACATCTTACAAAGGTATATATATTTATATATATTTAAGTGAAGTACATTGAAACTAAACATCTTACAAGATAATCTTGTCTTAGAGAGCTTCATTT